TTCCCCGCAAAAGAACACCGATTCCTACCAAGGATGATTAGCGAGGCTATTGAAATTAAAAAAAACATCCTAATTACAATAGAGAGGATGGATAGGTGCTGCCATCTGCTTGGGATCCTATAATTAATAAAATTAAACCCAAACCTAAGCATACCACTGCAAGACTTCAAGATACTGTAAGCTCATTCTGCGTAGATCGGACCAAAAATTAGCATTCAAAAACTGAAGGTAGCGGGGCTAGTTATGACATCGGAACGTCAAACATACCAGTGCCCCGTGATCATAAGTGCTGTAAAGCACCCGAAACATCGGAAATTTAAAAGTTAAATTAAACGCGATAGAATCCGTAAAATTAGTTTAATTTAAGACTATTTATCAAATTTCAAACGAGTTCGTGGTCTTAAACATTAGAGTAATTACATACGACATATTATGTGTTAAACCTTTGCCATTTTCATTTAACGCAGAGAAATTGTCAAATTTGTCTCTATAGTTACATTATTTAGGACCGTCTGCTGACTAAAACAACGAAATGCACTTTGTTGTTATTTTTATTTCTAACTGTCACCCGTTTGTTAATGTTCTACATTTTGTGTATGTATATTTAAATACTTTATTAAATGAGTTTTCGTGAATTTGAAAACTCCTTTCTACGGTTTGAATAAAACTAGTCGTCATGCTGTAAATTAAATCAAATCAAACCATCAATATCCAAGTCCGTTGTGATGTCTATTCTGATAGTTTTAACGATTTAGGATACGTTTTAGTTTATTTTGCTTTTTTTGTAACTGTTTTTTATACATTTATTTTATATTTTTATTTCACACAGTCCACGTGATGGTAAGTGGTTGCTGTGGTCCATAGACATCTACATCTATCCTCATTTGCGAATAAAATGCAGATGTTGTCAACCGTGAGGACTAAGAAGGAATGCCTCTTTTCCAGTAAAACTCACTCACCATACGAAACACAGCAGCATTAAGTTGCTATTTTACGCTGGTATTCTGTATTCTACTATTAATATAGCTGTAGTATGACTCTACCGCGTATAAATATTGCGTAAAATAAAAATAAAATAAGTGTGATCCTGAAAATTTAAGAATTTTTTTTTAGTTCTAATTATTTTTTTACGTTTTTGTATACGACATATTTTATATAATTATGTCATAATTACAATCTACGTATTTAATAGTTTTGCGCATTTAAATTAAGAATAATATTTTTGTCTGTATAATAAGGATTAAATAATAAAAGAAAATCACAAGCTAAGAATAAATTGACATACTTAAATTATTCATATTAAAATATAAGAATAACCTGAAAATAATTTGATTTTGAACGTCTTAGATATGAGTAAAATGTACAAAGTATCTCTAACGTCACAGGTCTTTTGTCCTAAAAGCTCTTCACGCTGATACAATAGGCAGCATGCTAAAGTTGAATAAAGTATTTTTATACATCTTTGAGCGCTTTAGAGCTTGTTTTTTTTTTTAAATTTAACAATGCCTAGTATTGTGATTAATTAAAATATATTTAAAATTTTCATCTAACGAAACCAAAAACCACTTAAAACAGAGTCGTAAACGCTTTTTCAAGTATGTGCTTAAGTGAATATACTTTAATTATTAATATAGTTAATGATAACAACTAATTGTAAGTATAAACTAAATGCTTTTGACCTTCATAAAATCACACTTGATATTATGGACGTATATATTTAATACCATTGCATGGGCTCCACTAACGTCTCATTTTCATTGATCTATAGGCGTTTGAAATTTAGATATATTGTTAGGTGTGTTTTAAAAGTAAAAAACAACATATTATAAGAATATTATGTAATGAAGGCCAAACCTTAAAAAAATATGAGATATTTTATTTTAATTTATTTATACACTTTATTGTACTAATGTTATAAACGGTGGAATTAATGCCATATGGTATTTTCTACCAGATTAGTGGGAGAGGTGTGTACTGCAGTGGGCTAGGATGAAAACCTAACTAACACACACACACACACACACACACACACACACACACACACACACACACACACACACACACACACACACACACACACACACACCCACACACACACACCCACACCCACACACACCCACACACACACACCCACACACACACACCCACACACGAATACACACACATACACATACATATAATGGTATCTTACAAGTACTTAGTAACTTTTACATACTTACATAAATAAAGTTATAAAAATTAAGAAGTTTTGGCAATATGTTTAGATAAAGTATTTTATGGAAAGTAATATAATTTAATAAATAGTTTAAAAACACTCATAACTTCAAATACATATAAGTATAATTAACTATTACAAAAATACGTTTAAAAATCGAATAAACTAATTTCACTTCAGCGCATTTAAAATATTATCTTTTGTGTTTTATAGGCTTTGTTCCACGACGCAGACGGCTGCACCGGGCGAATTCTGAGCCTGAGACTAGATAAATTCATAGATGCTAGAAGAAACACTCGAAATATCTGGCGTGAAGCGAAGTAAGGCGGACGTGCTACAGAATATAATATCAGGCAGTGGAGTGGCCGCGAGACTCACGTGCCCTGATGCCGCGTCGCGTCGCCTCAGCCGGCCCTCGTAATAAACGATATAGTGCGAAAATAGAACCCAAACGGATATCGCTGCGCTTTCCACGTAAATAAAATACCGACGCTCCCGCCATTCCTGTCTTTCGATGTGAACGGTTTTATTATATAGACGTCGAAGCTAGCAAATCGATTCCAGTGTTCAAAAATAAACATTTGAATCCGTTTATGTCACTTGTTTCATTTAAAAAAATTAATCCAACAGTGTTATATTTATTACATTTATAGACATAAAGTAATGTTATATATAATAAAGAAAAAGAAATACCTTTTACTAACTCATGTATTTTCCTCATTTATTTTCCGAAGTAGTCACGCAGCACTAATTCAGTATAAACTGTAAATTAAATTTTTAACTTGTGCACACATTTTAAACGTTTTAAATACAAACATCGTAAGACCTCTTGGCTTGAGCGTCGCAACAACACTGGCAGCAGCGTGCGCGAGAGACGCCAATGCCGATTTCATCTCGTTTTGAAGTGCTGCATTTTTAAACAGAAGCCTGTCTCACGCGGGACATAACTGGGATAAGCTCTGGGTACAGCTGCGCCCTCGTTATTATGCATTCTAGTTAACGTTATCATTAACTGACGGCTTCACATAAATTTGTTAATAATTGATGCTATTTGTAGCGACCGTATAAACACATGCAGCATTGTATGGAACCTTACGTTTTAGTCGTGCCGTATAATTTTTTTAAACATCTGTCATAAGCACTATAATAAAAAATGTGTATACAAATACACATTTTTATCATAGTTCAGTTAATAAAATGTAAATAAAATCGCCCCTTCCTTGAGCAACATCAGTAAAAGTAATAAGTACAAAATTATTAAAGAAAATATTATTTACTGGTTTTTCCGCGACTTGCCTTGGTTTACCAGCATCAATAGCCTTCCGTCCAAAAACCCGAACGGTTTGGAGTCACTTCAGTGTCTGTGTTTTTGTCTATCCCGACTCTTACGAATATTATAGACACGCTACAAGTTACAATAATAAATACCTGAGATTTAGATTATCTTAGGGCAAAGAATGTGTGTGATGTTATAAAAAAGACAAGTATAATTTCTAATATGTAATATTAATCCTTTTAACTTGTTTAATTTTATTTGAATTTTTTTCGGAATAATGTTTCAAAATTTCTACACCGTATCTGGAAGAGTATTGCTAAAAAAAATTGAAAAATCTCGAATATAGATTAACATATATGAATATAGATTAAAGAAAAATAATCAGAAAAATAGTGTTGTATTTTATTATTTTACTATCGTTTTCTTTTAAATTATGGCAAAATGTTTACTGACGACATTCGATCTAATATAATCGGCCACATTCATTGTCATCATGAAATATAAAGAGTACTAGCTGATACCCGCGACTTCGTCCGCGTTAATAATAATAATAAATATATAAATACGACTGTAAGAAAATGTATTATATGAAAATTAGTTATTTATCGGTGAAAAATTACTGAGAAAACTATAGGAAACTACGGAGGGCATTTGATCAAGTTACAACTGAACAGCATCAGGTCGCTCGCGCAAATAATGCGCAGCTGACTCTAACTTTATCATGAGGCAAAGGCAGAAGAGACCTCTCCTACGCATGCGCGCTACACCGCTTGCCTCACTTCTCCGCGGCAAGGAAATACACATCACTAAACACGTAGTGCTTATAATAATCGTTGTTTCTTAAAACTTTAATAACCTTATATTAAATGAAGACATCTCAATATTTTTTTTAAATAAGGGCCAAGTGTTTAAGAAACACAACTTAGAAAACCTAATTGAAATCTATCCAGTAGTTTTTCAGTGATGCGTGCCAAACCTCATCTTTTTGTTTATAAAGATATAGATTGAAGAAAAAGTATGAAGTTATTTAATGTATTACTTATTAGAGGAAAGTAACCAAATATGGAATAGTATCCCTAAAATGGAATACCGCGATTTCTCGGAAACGAATACTCCTAGTTGCAAAAGACAGTGATTTTCTGTCTCTTTCCATCATTATACTCGCGTACAGTTTTCGACTTGTCAGTCGGGCCAATGTTGTGGCCGCAGTGAGAGTGTTTTGTTTTGGCGCTGTGAGAAAAGTTTTTAAGTTACGTAATAACTAAGTATTTCTCAAAACATGATTGTAAATAATATTGTATATTATGAGTATGCATTGATTACATGTTTGTTTGATTGTTTTAGAGGTTTTTTCTTGCCTGATCTTGATGAGTTAAAAAATCTGATATACGTTTTGATTACTTTGAAATTTCCGAATATGGAAGTCCGTGGAGTCTAAATATGGACTATTCCAAATTTAGATACCACAATATCATCTGGCTAGATTTAAATTTAATATTTGGTTTTAGAATGACGTCTTCAAGTTCAAAAGGAAAACGAAAAGAATGGAACACAGATCACATGACAGAAGCTATACGAATGGTTAGAGAGAAAAAAATGGGTTATTTTAAAGCAGCAAAACACTTTGATGTACCAAGAACCACTTTGTTTCGATTATGTCAGAAAAATGAGCTATCTCCAGAAGAAGCTGCAGCCACTAAATTAGGAAGAAAATCTGTTTTAGGTGATCAGCTCGAAAATCTACTAGTAGAATATATTTTAAAGATGGAGAGCAAGTTTCATGGTTTGACGAGGAATGATGTTCGTAGAATGGCGTATATGTTGGCCAAACGCAATAATTTGGAGAATCCGTTTGGTGAGTCCGGAACGGCTGGAAAAAAATGGCTAAAGCTATTTTTAAATCGTCATAAGCAAAAACTTTCGATGAGAAGACCCACTGGCACGTCTTTTGCAAGAGCTTTTGGTTTCAGTAAAGAAAAAGTAGACGCTTTTTTTGATCTTCTTGAAGAAGTCTACACTAAGGGTAACTATACTCCGATCGCATATATAACGTCGACGAATCTGGGCTTACAGTGGTTCAAACCAAGATACCCCAAGTTATCGGTCACAAAGGAAAACGACAAATAGCTTCACTTACTTCAGCTGGAAGAGGGTCATTAATGACAATAGTTATTGCTATGAACGTTACTAGCCATTTTGTGCCTCCTTACATCATTTTTCCCAGGAAAAATATGAGCGAACAGCTAATGAGAGGCAGTCCTCCAGGTGCGGTAGGCGTTGCACATCCATCAGGATCGATCCAAATGCAAATATTTACAGATTGGTTTAAGCATTTCATCAAACACACCAACCCGACACCAGAATCGAAAGTTTTGTTGATCTTAGATGGACATTATTCTCAAACACAAACAACAAACAAACGTTATTGATATTGCAAGGGAGAACAATGTTGAAATTGTTTCCATACCTCCACACACACAACCCTCAAACTGCAACCTTTGGATAAAACTTTTATGGGACCACTAAAAACCTATTATAGCGAAGAAATACGAATGTGGATAAGAAACCATAACAGGCCACTAAGTCCTTATGACATTGTTGAACTATTTCGCAGATTGTCGTGAAGCGACAATAGAGAACAAAAAGAATCTAACCTAAGAACAACAAAACAACAAAAATACAACAAAAACAAAAATATATTTAAAATTCAAAGATATTTACAATTTTATAAAAAAATGAAATGAGGATGATGATGAATGAAGTGAGAGTACAATTAGATTACAAAAAAAAAAAATAAAGGTAGGAGAATAGGGGAATATAGAGTTGTAGTGGAGCCTAAAAGTCGAAGCGACACACGTTGCGATTTTAGAGGTAGGTTTCTTAGCAGCGACGACACGCAGCGCCTGAAGCCAGCACACGCCGGTTGCGCTTGTAGAGGTAGGTTTCTTAGCAGCGACGGCACGCAGCGCCTGGAGCCAGCACACGCAGCGTCCGGAGCCGGCGCACGTAGCGCCTGGAGTAGGTGCGCTCAACGCTTAGAGTCAGCAGTTGCAGCGCCCAAAGGTAGCGCCGGCGGTAGGTGCACTCGGCGCCTGGAGTAAGCAGTCGTAGCGCCCGGAGTAGTGTGGCCCCCGCGCTTGAAGTAGACTGCCGACGACTTCCGAGGTAGATGGAGGCTTGTAGGATTCCGGAGTGGTGCGGCTCCGCGCTTGAAGAAGGCTTCGCCGAAGACTTCACGTGTAGGTGGAGGCTTGCAGGATCCCGGGGCAGTGCGGCCCCGGGATAAGGCCTTTAGGAGATGCTTCCAATTCGAGAACTGAAGCGAGACTGCCTTTCTTCACCGATTGTTCGGCTTTTATACCTTTCTAGAGAGAACGGAAAAATTATTTAAATTAAACGCAAATTTTTTGTAAATGGTCAAGAGAAAAGAGTATTTATGTGAAATTATCGAAATAGGAACAACAGATCGGTAGCAAATTTGAATATAATTACTATGGAGACCAAATAAACAAAAATGTCAAAACATATCAAATTTTAGTTTTAGGCTTGTAATAAGAAAACGGCAAGATTTAAGTGGAAAATGAGATATTATTGATATAGGAAAAAAGGTAGCGCAACTGCCCACACAAAGCCCGAAGTTGTAGAGTTACGGAAAACTAACTAAAAGATCGAAAAAAGGTAGACTCCATTGACACCAATTTAAAAGTGCTGATAATGTGAAAATACGAAGTAGAAATGATTTGTTATTGTGTTCTTATGGTTTAAAATCGTTACAGGATCCTATGGAAATAAAGGTGATGTAAAATATCCACTTTTGAAGTGAATGCAGAAAATCGAAACAGAATGGAAAAATGAATTTAAAATAATGTAAAATGATAAGTAAGTAGCATAACACTACAAGATCTTACTTGAAAGTGCAAACAGGGGAAATTGCAGCGAATGGCTTTCGCGTTACAGGCCTTTGGCCATTGAATAAAAACATATTCAGCGAGATCGACTACCTTGCTGCCCAACAAGATGCAGTAAAAGATGGTTGCACAATCAATGCCACTCCAACAAAATCAAGCTCCCAGTCGAAAGAATCATCAACAAACGATGCAAGACCACCTGATAATAGATTGATTTTAACTGAAACTTCTGTCACACCAAGACAAGACACAGAATTCGATCCAGAACCCTCAACTTCCAGGCTTTCTCGCAGTACTCTAAGTCGCCCTATGACATCGGCCCAGTGCCAGATAAAAAAAGAAAGATTTCTAATAGAGGAAGAAAAACAACTATTGCTGAAATAATAACATCTTCTCCATATAAAAATCAACTCATTGACAGTAATAAAAAGAAAAACGAAAAAGAGAATAAATTATCAAAGCCAAAAAATAAAAAACAGAAAGAAAAGAAAACTAAAGGAAAACAGCAAAAAGAGAAAACCAAGTCTCAAAATAGTCCCATTGATTGAGACGATGAAGAAGAAATACATTTTGACACAGACAGTGAGCCTGATGCCGTCATAGGACTGGAAGCTTCTGACTCAGAAGATGCAGAGTGTATGTTTTGTAATAGTTTGTTTACTCAAGATACTAGAGGAGAGACATGGTTCAAATGCCTCATGTGCGGGCTCTGGGCACATGGTGATTGCGCAGGTGCAGAGTTCGATACATGGATCTCTGATTTTTGCAAGTAATTTAAGTACATTTTTAAAATTGACCAAAGTTCCTGTAGTACCTCATAAAAGTAAAGGTTTATTATTCATAGTTTTATAGTAGTCCATATTTGGGTACCTATTCCATAATTAGGTGTCTTTATGTTGATTTAGTTTTTTAAGAAAATTTTATATTTTAAATTAATATATGTAAAACAAAACTGTCAATAAGTTAAGCGCAACTGTATGACTGATAATAAATAAGAATAAAAGTTTTTGATTTAAAATATCTTTTTTGTTTATAACACAAAAACAAAATGGTATTCCATATTTGGTAACTTTCCTCTATTCATTTATTTGCACAAAAAAGTGTTGTGTTTAATTATTTTACTATCATTTTCTTTTACATTATGGCATAATGTTTACTGTCGACATTCGATCGAATATAATCGACGTCTTTCATTGGCATAAATTTATATATTTTACTTATTGGTAAAATATACATGAATTCAGCTTTAGGTAAAATTCGGTAGCTTTAATATTAATGATACCTAATTTCACTTTTATTTATTTTATAAAAGAGCATGTGGCTCTTAAAAGTGACGGTTCTTAAGTCGTATCCGTCCACAAATCGCTGGCAGTAACCGATTCCACAAGTCATGCGAGAAAGAAAAATTATGGTAAATTGCTCAACGAATTTGCAAGTCGCGAATATTGTTGCGATATGCGATGGTGAATTTAGGTGGGCCGAATTAGTTCGAACAATTCATCTGAGTACTCTCCATGATAGATTATATGCAAAGGGCTATCCTTTGTAGCGCCATTGAATCAAATCAGTGAATCTTTTTTACTGGAAACGTGGCATTCCGCCTTAGTCCTCAGGGGTGTCAACGTTCAACGCATCTACATTTTGATTCTTAATCGAGGATAGATGTAGATGTCTATGAACTACAGCATCCACTTACCATCAGGTGGACTGTGTGTTAGTTGACAAACTAGCACCTCATTCTATAAAAAAAATAGTAGGAAACAACTAGAGGATTGCTGTATGTTTGTAATTGGACAAATTAGAGCAGTTACTTTTTTAGGGATCGGGTGCACAAAAGCTGTCTTTCAAAACTTCGGAACAACTCCTAAAGAATAGGAGTATGGTATGGTTTGAGCTGGTGTCAACTTCAGAGCACATTTATTTTTCTTTCTCAACACAAATAGGCGGAGTCCGTCGGACTTATATCCGATTTGTGTATGTACTGGGAGAGTAGTAATTTTTAAATAAAATTGAAGTGACAAACGAACTAATAGTCTACTTAATGGTAAGTGGCTACTAACGTTCAAGGACACATGCAGTCAATTTTAAACCAAAAAATGCTATAAGTGCGTGGTCACCTCTGGAAACTAAGACAGAATGCCTCACAGATTATTCTGGCTCTTTATACCATACAGATCGGAACACAGTCGTGCAATCACACTAACTTTGTGTACTGAGCATTTGTGTAATATCAATCTGGCAGGGATCACTCACAAGGCGGGATAATGGGCGGCTGAGAGTCGAGTTGGATACAAAATGGAAGTCTAAAAATGTCAGTTTTCATCTTTGCAGCGTGAGTCGTCCTCCCTGTGCAGAGATGGAAGTGACGGCTGACAGGAATTTGCATGAACAGCCTTGACGAGAGACCAGGATACAAGGTTTCCGCTAATTCTGTCAGTGTGTTCTATCTTTGTCTTGGCAATAACTCTTTTGAAGGATCTGTAGGCGGAATAATACTTCTTTTTAAAGGCGTCATTTTTGCATCCCAGGACGCCGTGTCAACCTAGGACACTCCTGCTTATTACGTAATGAAGTTTTGCTCTTCCCCCGATGGGTATAAAATATAATAGAATAAAAACTTTAATTAAACACATCAAGATCAGAATCAGCAACAACGCTGGTATCATCCGATAAAAGTTATGATAGTAAACTATCTATCCTAGAAAAAAGTTTTTTAAGATAGAAACTTTAAGATAGAAACAAACCAACCGACATGGGTAGAATACAAAAAAGTTCTATCCTATCCCAATCTACTAATCTACACCTGCCTGCTTTACACTGCGGCAGTCTAGGTGATAGTACTTATTTTTAACCGACTCCATATAGGACTCAATTCGACTGTATTTTTTATGTGTTACATCATAACTTTTTTCTAGGTGAACCGATTTTGATGATTCTTTTTTTATTTGTGAGCTGGTACTTCTTTGATCAAGGTTTGACTAGTAGTTTTTAAGTTATCCTTAATAATTTATATTGAGGTCGGTTGTACACACATTTTAATTTTACCACTTGTTTCTTATTTTTAAACAACAAGTGAGGAACACAGTCTACCTGATAGCAGGTGGATGACGTGGCCCATATATACCCACATCTATCCTCGATTAAGAATCAAAATATAGATGCGTTGTCACTGCTTAGAACTAAGATAGAACGCCTTTATACCAATAATAATTGTATTATCTACACTCACTTTAAAAATATTACATCATTAATCTGCTATTTTGCGCTGGTATTCAGTATAATTGTAGTTTCTCCCTGGTGGAGCTGTCCTATGCGCACTGAAATACAATATAGCAGCAGCGTTGCTCTATTACGTAAAAGGTGGTAGGACTAGTAGGACCATCTTCTTACATTTTTCTGACGCCAAATATCAGTGTTTGAGTTGCTGTGTTCCAGTCTGAAGTATATAGAGAGACAGTATAATATGGCCAGAATAATTACATGCTATGAGGCATTCCATGATAGTCCTCAGGGTTTGACAAGGTATATCCAGCCTTCTTTTTTATAGAATAAGGGTGACAGACGAGCACAGAGTCCACCTGATGGTAAGTGGTTGCTGTGGCCCATACACATCTAGATCTATCTTCGTTTGCGAATTAAAATGCAGATGCGTTGTCAGCCGTGAGGACTAAGATAGAATGCCTCTTTTCCAGTAAAAAGGGTCTCCGGTTCTCTACACTCACCAAACGAAACACAGCAGCATTAAGCTGCTTTTTTACACTGGTATTTTCTGAGAGCGTGGTTCTTCCCCGGTCGAGCCGACCCATTCGTGCTACAACTATAGTATTAATGTAGCATAGCTCTACCACGTATCTACGTATTCTTTGTATAAAGTTTGTTGCAGGTGTTCATGAACTATAGTAGCCACTTACAGATAGAGTGTGAGTTTGTCTATCATTTCAGTTTAAAAAAGTCCCCATTTTACTGAAAAAGACGCATTCTATCTTAGTCCTCACGGCTGACAACGCATCTGCATTTTAATTCGCAAACGAAGTTAGATGTAGATGTCTATGGGCCACAGTAACCACTTACCATCAGGTGGACTGTGTGCTCGTTTGTCACCCTTATTCTATAAAAAAAAGTCTACAGACCTAGCCACAATAGGAGAATCAGTGGCGTCGAACTCGGGATCAAACAATGAATGATCGATAGGTCAGGTCAATAAATCATGGACAAGTCCTTAATTTCAAGACTTCAGACGCGTTAAAACAGATATGCCCTCTGACGTATTTGCAAAGTTCGGCCTGAAGCAAAAAGGAGCGTCCCAATTTGTAACCCGCGTATAAAATTAGTCGAGAACCTGCGTTTCGGTTTAGGTCTTAAGATGAACATGGACAAAACTAAGATCATGTTTAATGTCCATGTCACACCTATGCCGGTAGTTGTTGGGAACACTAAGCTCGAAGTTGTTGACGAGTATGTTTACCTGGGACAAATAGTCCGACTAGGTAAGTCCAACTTCGACCGAGAGGTCAATCGACGGATTCAACTCGGTTGGGCAGCGTTCGGGAAATTACGGCACATCTTCTCGTCAGGTATACCTCAAACCTTGAAAACGAGACTGTACACCCAGTGCGTGTTGCCAGTGATGACATACGGAACTGAGACGTGGTCCTTCACTGCTGGCCGGATGAGGAAGCTCAAGGTCGCTCAGCGAGCTATGGAGAGGGCTATGCTCGGAGTTTCTCTGCGTGATAAACTTAGGAATGAGGATATCCGCAGTAGAACCAGAGTAACCGACATAGCCCAACGGATTAGTAAGCTGAAGTGGCAATGGGCCGGCCATATAGCTCGAAGAACCGACAACCGATGGGGAAGAAAGGTTCTCGAGTGGCAGCCTCGTACCGGTAGGCGAAGTGTAGGGCGTCCCCCCACGAGATGGAGTGACGACCTGGTAAGACATGCAGGAAGTCGATGGATGCAGGTGGCTCAGGACCGTGCTTTGTGGCATTCTTTGGGGGAGGCCTATGTTCAGCAGTGGACTTGTGAAGGGCTGTAATGATGATGATGATGATGACTGCGTTTCGGTAAGGAAAAAGTAAGAAGGCGATCAGTTGTGTACTCACACTAAGAAAAATAAGGATGACTTGGGAGTGAATGCTCAGAGAGGGATTCTTCAAGACTTTTGGTGTTGGTACCCTCCTGGAGCAATTTCTTATTTAATGCCGCTAACATGTTATCTGCACTTACTAGGTGAAATTCAAAGTAATAAACGCTTCTACTTCCCGCTAGTATTCTGTGCGATCGTAGTGCTTCCCCGGTTCGAGCCAGCTAGATAGATATATTCGGTGAGGTTAGTCAGTTTATATAGTTTGTGGCTCAGGAGCAAAGAGTTTGTTAAGCTT